ACTCCGATGGACCTACACTCCGATGGACCTACACTCCGATGGACCTACACTCCGATGGACCTACACTCCGATGGACCTACACTCCGATGGACCTACACTCCGATGGACCTACACTCCGATGGACCTACACTCCGATGGACCTACACTCCGATGGACCTACCAAGCAAACCACCTTCAGATGAACCAAAACAGTATTACTCCACAGGCACATTACTGCCCTGGTATTACTTTACGTCCGCATTGGGAGTGATGTATTTTTCGCCCTTGCCGTGGTGACCCCTCCCTGCCCCGCCATGGTGGCCCCTGTTCGTCTTGCCCGGCCGCCCTGCCCTGCCCTGTCCCGTCCTGCTTCGGCTAACTTTATACCCCGTTATACCCCGCTATGCCCCTTTTCTGCTCGTATGTGGAATTCTTGCCCCGGAGACGGGAATTGAAAAAAAACGGATGACCGGCGGTGGGTTGGCGACGAATGACGTGAATGCATGGCAGGCGAAAGTGATTCGTTTGTTCGACCTCGCGCGTACGAGTGTTGGTGCGGAGTTTGCGGAGGCCTTGGAAGACTTTGTAGAATGTTTAAACGCGAGCGGTTCGACCGGTGAGGATCAAGGTAGTGGTGGTGGTGAGGATTGTACGAAGGGTGAGGCGTTGTTGCAGACTCGTGATGCGGAGAAACACACGTGTGCACACGTGGCTGCGTTTCACGGCAACATGCGGGTGTTGGAGTATATATATAGTCTATGTCCTGAGGTATGTGTATCGCCGGACAAGCAGGGTGAGGGTCCATTGTTTGCGGCAGTAAATAATGGACAGAGACGTGTAGTGGAATGGCTTTTGTCAGTGGGAGCGGATAAGTACGCGTTAAACCAAGTCAATTTGACCCCAATCCATGCGGCAATGCGACTACAAGATGGCGGACAAATTCTTAAAGTACTCACCAAATCTTTGGAACCGCGACCCGGCCTCTACGCTTTCGGTGCCGTTACTGGTGGACTACTTTCATGGTGTGTATTAACAAATAACATTGAGCTCTTCAAAACGATCATCGATGTTTCTGACCCGAAACAGCTCGCGAAAGATTGTATGGAATCCCCTCTACCTTGCGCCGTGGTGGGCTCTGCACGACCTGAAACTGCCGGCGTCGTGCTCCAATACCTCATTGACAAGCACGTGGCACCTGAAGCGATCGCCGCCGCACACGACCAAACAGGATGTAGCGTCCTCTGCAATCTGGCCCAGCTTGAGGACCATACTTTCCTTGAAAAACTCATGGGCGGTTGCTCCGATGAGTGTCTACGAGATCTCTGCAGTCAGCGTTCCGAAGGTCGAACACCTTGGCTCTACGCCAAGACGGAAGCCGCGAAGGAGTTGCTCGGTAAATTTACAGATGACGCAGCCCGTATACCCGACGACCCCGAGACTAGTGGCGACCATGTCGCACCAAGTGGTCACGCTAATAATGACTCCAATCAGCCAGGGAGTCAGACGGGCGGCGATTCGGACCCCACCGGGGGGGAGAACAAGATGGTGATGCCGCGAAAAGAGGTGGACGCTGCGACAATGGCTGCTTGCGAGAAGTTGAAGTTGTTGGGAAACAAGAAGTTTACGGAACACAGCTATGTGGAGGCCGAGGCCGCTTTCCGCGAAGCTTTGGGGCTGATGTCTGTGGACATAGCAGCGGTTGCAGAACAAACTGGTTTATTGAACCCCAGTTGCGTGGACAAAGGGACCATCACCCTACCGGTCATAAGCCAAAGTGAAGACTACATCGCACTTGCTAGCACACTTGTGGCCAACCTTTCTGTCGCTAGTCTGCGTCTAGGCAAACATCGTGATGCTGAAGAATGCGCAGCTGTAGCAATCGCATTCGCACCCGAATGGTATAAAGGATACTATCGTCTCGCTATGGCCAAAAAGGTACAAGGAGACTATGCTGAAGCTACCCAACAAATGTATCTCTGTATCATGCGTAACAGCCAAGACGAAGCGTTACGCAAAGAATTCAACAACTGTCTTGAACTTGCTAAAGCTCAACATAAAAGGCAGCAATAACTTTTTATAACCAACCAATCGTACCATCATCATCATGTTAAGAACAAGTCCTACATCGGTCTACAACCACCGACCGGTCTACAACCACCGACCGGTCTACCACCGTTGGTTAGGAGTGTAGTCGTTCTCTGGAGATTCATCCAGTGTGCTCACTTCAGGAATTTGATGAGAAGTCGGATGGAACTTGATGGGTTGCTCAGGCAGTGCGAATTCTAATTGTAACAGGTCCGCAGTACGGCTGATGTATTGATACCAAAGTGTCTTGTTATCATGCACAAACCGCCATGAGCCCCAGCCACTACCAAGCGTAGCCCAAATCGTCACTTCCAAATACTGCTGCACCTTGAAATCACTGATCAACATAAACAATGAGTCCCGATACCAGTTTGTAGAGTTGCAATCTAGATAGTTCTGTAAAAGGACCTTCAAAGCCTCCAACTGCACACCCGTGGTCTTGGTGCTCATTCTGAGAGGCACGCATATCGAAGCATTCACCGACCTCGACTCATTCACAATTTGCATCGAGCGCAAGTTCACATGAGGCAAATATAACTAAGACGAAAGAGTGAATGAATCTGATCGAACGCGTGTTGTAGCGAACGTGTGTGCTAATGTGTGTGCGAATTAGCGATTTACGATTTTGCCTTCCAAGGTCTCAAATTGAGTTGTATATACATTGATTTTCTTAACGATATGTAGGACGTCATTTATTCTAACCCTGTCTCCATTGTCATACGGATTGGTAAATACAGTAAGGATGGTGGATTGTATGAAGTCTGTATAAACGAAACTTAGGGCCACAGTTGTGCCACTAAAAACGGCGGCGCCGGAAACAATCAAGGTACTCATGTTAACATCCAAGTAGCCCAGGATGGCAATGGCTGAGAGGATGAAACTCAAGTGGCTAATAAGAAGTTCGATGACAGGAAGTGCTCTTTTTTGAGCGTAGTAACTCGCCATTACTGACCGGCGTAGTTCGCAGATACCCGCAGCACTCTGTAAGAAGTTACCTGTAGAGATGAAACCATCACGATCAGCCATTCTAGACTTGAGAATAGGCACAATGTCGGGATGGAAATACAGGTCCAACAAATTCTCATGAATTCGAACATTATTGTCACTGAAACAAACATCCTTCACTCCCACGCTCACTTCACCCCCACGCTCACTTCACCCCCACGTTCACATAAGGTCTCTGTTGACACACACCACCCATGTTCACACACACTACCCATGTTCACACACATCATTCATGTTCACACACACCACATGCCCTCGTGTAGATACACCTGCGCGGATACCTTTCAAGTGTCTTCATTTCTTTCAATACCAACGCAGTCAAATGGTCGTCTCCCAGATCTAAGCCGGTCTCTTCATCAACTGTTTGTTTGGGCGACATATCAGATCTATTGGCATGGAGGTAATCGCAGATTTCAGCGAATCTTTGGACAGCAAAGCTTTTACAGTGATTTCGATCCGAGATGGGCACCATGTGTCCCTGGTTGTCCAAAAAGTTAACCAGCGAATCGCGCAGCCACAGGATACACATAAATGACCGGAGTCCGGCGTTGCCATCTTCCAGACACTTTCGCATCTCGTAGACATGTTGTACAAACTCCAGTGTACTTGCACACTGCGTGATATTGTCCTGCATGTCACACACTCGTTTCAAACTTCTGTGTAAAATCACACATGTGTGTGTCATCATCACATGTGTGTGTCTTACGACAAGAGTGAATGTGAGTAAGGCATGGTAGCTAGCTAGATATTCTAATAAGTCTTCTTGTAATCTGGTGAGTAATGCAAACTTTACTATCCAGTAGAGGAGTCGGGCTATAACGCCGCGAATAACAAGGACGCACTGTAGGGCGAAGGTTATCTGAATGAGCCGAGTGCGATTCGGTTCAACGAGAGTGAGTGGCCACGTGTAGAGGTTTTGTACATAGAATCTGTTGAGAGGGTCACTGTTGATGACTGTGACTCTGGCTATCTCGAAAATGATGTACCAAAGAAGGTCAAGAATTCCGTGGTCCAGGTGGTCTTTGATGATGAGACTTTGCGCATTCACCTTAACCCAATTCCGGGCCCAAGCTCTGTTCATACCGTACTGGACTGCAGAAACAACTGTGCATGCTCCAACCTGCAATCCAATGAACACAGCCATCGTAACGCACCCCTGCAATGTAGCATACCGAGCTACGTCGTCAATCAAAACGTAGATAACCACGCCCACGAGTCCCGCTGTCAATACCCAACATAGCATGGATCTCCTGGCAGTATTTCACTGACTACCCACTCACGGCCGCCTGGCGAAATTCCAGCCTGAAATTCACCCACTTTATTCCACCATGTTTGGAGTCATCATACCCAACCAATTAGCCCAAGTACCCGTCGCTGTCAATCAAACGACCTACACTCTACCCATCGCCAATGGCCACCTGGTCACCGACATCTGCGTGAGCGCTGTTGCACCCTTTCCAGCTGACGACGTCGGAGCCGCCGTCTTCTACTCAGCCATTCCACCCTACAACGAGTTCGCATATCTTGGTAATCTTGGACTCACCCCCCATAGCCCCCTCTCACACACACAGTTTACATACAGTTCCTTCACATGGTTCTGCCATAACGCTTCGTTTAGGGGCACTTAGCAACTCTTGTCTGTCAACCATACTGCGCACAGGCTGGGACCTATTGCTGGCTGAACTTCCGACCAAAGATGTGCTTCTGAAAATGTAACACCCACCTTGCAATGCTCACCTTCCATATCGACTTTGGCGACTTTAGAGAAATACTACCTGCAGCCCAGATCTTGGAGCTGGTAGCTGTCCAGCCACCAGATGTCAAGTTGGTAAGAAACTCACTATGACACGACTCAGTCTGCCAGTCCCGGGAAAGTCGTCACTCAGAGTGACGACAGTCGTGATTCCATTGAGTTATGCGGGGGTTCTCATGTTCGTGAATGTGTTTAGGAGTACGGGAAAAAAGTGGCACTGAATCTGTATCGGTATTTGGAGTCGTATAATACTGGCGTTGACGGCTCCGTCCTGCAAAAAGCTTTGGACAACTGGTTGATACGCTTCGAGGCGAAGTCCAAACACGACCCGAACTTTGTATTCAAGACGGAGTAAGGCCATCGGTGAACGCGCGGGCCTGTCAGCTTCGACCCTCCTTACGTCCTGGTTAAGATTAAAGGCCAGGCGAAAGCGAGCATACCGACCATTGCGGCGATGATGTGAAGAAGAATTACCGCGCGACATTCCTGGGACGTGACTTCGGTTCTTGTTCCAATCGCTGCGACCGACTGGTACTTTGCTGAAGGCGATTCGAAACAGGGAGATTGGAGACGGTCTGTGGTTGGTTCGTCTGTAGCTGTTCTTGGTTCAGCTGCGGCACTGGTTGTTGGGTGATTGTGGGGAAGGTGCCCATGATTTTGATAATCTGAAGAGGCTTACTGTTACGTTAACCGGAAAGTTACTCACAGAGCAGGAGCAGATTTCTCTCGATGAGAGCCGCGCGGTACATGTCTCGATACGTGATTCGGCAAGTAGAGGGTTTGTGTCCCGTTTTAGCCATGACCTGCTCTTCAGGAAGAGCTGGGAGCGACTGACCATTATTCTGAGCGACTGGCAAGCGGCTTCTTGGTGACTGACTACCCACAGAGAGAGGCTGTTGGCCCTCAAGAGAGTGAGGTTCCGAGACCGGCTGCAACCTCGGGGAAAAATGCGTGGCGGACATCTGGAGGGACGCTCTGCACATGTGTGCGGGAAATTGTTTTCCGCCCGTGTCCCAAGAACAGCGAAGAGAGGGTGTAACTGTGTGAGTTGCGTTCGTGAGGAAAACCCTAGACCATTTTCTGTGTGGTGCTCCTCATCGGTAACCACGCACCTTCTTTAGATGACGTCCTCCGTGACAAAATGGCTTTCTAATTTGTCCAGCAAACCTGAAAACAAGGGTAGGCACAATTTGGGTCACGCATTCGGGTCACCTCCCGTGGCAAGCCTCTGTGACAAGCATCGCGCCTTTTCTCATCCCTCTGACCGTCCTGAGGCACTGCACCGGTGCTTCCACTGCCCTTCCACTGCCCTTCCACTGCCCTTCCACAGCCCCGCATGTTTCTATCATTGGTCCCGGTCATTCTTTCTTCTCCTCATGCCGCCTCCTGTGATTGCTATTGCAACATTTGATCCGAATTTGTTCTGCACCCTCCCTCCCAATCCTCGCTCACCGGTCACCCAATGGTGTCCTTCCCC